ATTTTCCTTCCAATTCTGCTCTTACTTCGTCTCGCGCGCTCTTCAGGTTCTCCAGGTCCCATCTCTTCTTCCTCACCCCCTACTCCTGATTTTCTTCACTCTGGTGCTGACGTTTGCAACTAACAGAGTCGATGTCCGCTGATGGCACTGTTTTCACATCCTTTACGCTATTCCTAAATCGTTGCTTCACTAAGATATAGTCTATCTGGTATCTGCTCCTGTCTCCTGTGATGCTTCTTGAACCAGGTGTTGGTGATTACCAGTCCATTTCTTCGGCAGAAGTCAACCATCATGTCCCCTCTCCTATTCCTTATTCCCAGTCCATGAGGGCCGACAATGTTGTTTTCTGCTCCTTTCCCCACGACACTGTTCCAGTCTCCCATTATTATGGTTTGCACTTTCCCTCTTCCTTCTGTCCTGATGATTCCTTCTATCTTCTCATATATTATTTCCGCTTCTTCATCGTCATGATCCGATGTTGGCATGTACACCTGCATTATCAGAATATCCACTGGTTCTGCATTCAACTTGATATGCATCAATCTGTCACTACACGCTTGCACTTTGATTACACTTTTCTTGATCCATTTCTGCATCTGCAACTTTCTACGTACAGTAGACAATTCTATCGATCTCTACAATTCTATCGATCTCTACACTTGAGACATCGATGTTTTTGTGTGATCGTGTTTTTTCTTGACAGCTGTCTTTCAAAATGGGTTTCTCAAGTAGTAAACACAGCATGACTGAAGATGAGATTTTAGATGTTGTAGGTAAGGATAATGTGTCAGACTTTTATGAAGACAGCGATGAAGACTTTTCTATCGACGAAGTTGTCGAAAGTAATGACGAAAGTGACGAAACAGAAAGAGAGGACGAGGAAGAAGAGAACGATGAGGCTGCTCCCCAAAAAAAAAAAAAAAAAAAAAAAAAAAAAAAAATACTTTGGTTACTGCCACAAAATGTAATTCCACGTACAATATGGGTGAATGACACGAATTTTGTGCCACAGAAGCATGATTTTGACCGATTCCAGTAAGGGATTAAATGCCTGGGTTGGGACATGTGCAAAGTGTGTTAAAATTCTAGAGTTAAAGGGTTAACCCATCAACATTTCAGGTAATGAAACTTATACTTTTTAATTATTTATAAATTTTAAAATGTAATAAAGTAAGAATATTAGAGAATTTGTTTAATTTACATGTTCATACATAGTAACATCATATCAATAAAAGTAATTAGTACTTTAATGTTACATCATACTCAAATAATCAGGGCCATTTCAGATCATGCAATATTAGTATAGTTTCCTAAGTGTGCCGAAAATAAAAATGAATGTTTCAGCAAAAATAAATTATGTTGGAATTTTTATAAGTGGAACATTTCTTAACTGTTGCAGAGCAGTTTGCTTTTAATAATTGTACACTAATAAGTAAATGAATCAAATTTACTTTATTTTATCACCACTCTTAATAATTAAAACACATTATAATATCTTAAAACCTTGCATACCGTGCAGTGTATTGATATATAAAAATCATGCATACAGACAAAACTGTTTACACATTAAATAAAATAAATAAAATAATATGTGCCAAACGTGTTACTACCTCAAGAGGCACAAAGTGTTATTTAATCTGTAACAGTTTTGTTTGTAGACAGACTAAAGAATTAATGTTTTTGCCACTAGTGATGACCTCTTAAGATCAAAATGCATTTGGCACAAAGTTTTATTTAATGCATAAATAGTTTTGTTTGTATGCATGTTTTTTATGCATTTTAATATGAAAAAGAATCTATAATAAAATTTCTACAGCTTGCAGCTCTTACAGAATCAGTTGAATAGAGATATTTACTGTTTACGAACTATTTATTTATTATTTAAGGAACTACATAAGATGAAGAGTTGTCCAAATAGTGGCATGACATGTTCCTGGAATAGTAATGATGATTATGGTGAAGATGATGGGGATGACAGTAATGAAGATTTTGTCCATGTGAATGTGCATGGGGCAGAAATTGAGCAGTCACCAAAGCTTTCCCGTATTCATCTAAACTTGAAAAATGCTCAGTGGTTTAAAGTTACAAATACGAAGGAAATATTTGAAATTTTTGATAAAGTTGGAAATGTTCCATATGTCCTTGTTGGAGGGAACACAGCCCGTGGTAAGTCACAAGTTTTGTGTGGTATAATAGACACTGTAAGTATTATCACATATGACAGATATGTCTTTAACATTTATGCATTTAAGTACACAAAATAGATGCTTATAGGTCTCACTTGCATCTGTCTATCTATCTATCTGTCTGTCTGATTCAACTTGAGAAGTACTGAATTAGTTTTGATTAAATTTTGTATGAGCGTTATGCCCTTCGACTTTACCCCAAAATTGTACTTTTTAATTTCCTACAATTGGTAACATGAACATGGCAGATGAATGAAATTGTGAGCTGAAAGCAGCACTATCGCCAATCAATATAGGGTTCTAAAATTTTGTATGATAACATCTTCAAAATATATACAAATTTTGTTGTAGTAATTCTTTATAAAATGTGAAACAATAACATGGTTGTTGCTTGAAAGAAAAAGAAAAATTGTCTTGAAAAATATTGTCACATAATCATCTTCATGTGAGTCCAGTACATGAACACACAACTAAAATTGCATTATATAATTAATTTACATTAATTAAAGAATACATAATTTGTAAATTTAGCAAGGAAAGCTGTTTAATCTTTATTGTCCTGACATCGCATCTTATACACAGTCCATCATTACATGCATTAGAGTAACATACTGCTAAACAGTTAATTATGAATCTAGAGTTCAACTGGCAGCCCTGTAGTATGGGAATTTAAATTGTCTTTTCTTGCACAATTAATTCTGTATATGGTAACAGACCTTTCAGTTTATGGTTGTATCTTGTTTTATATTTTTCCTACTTGATAGTCTGTTACCTTTTATTGAAGTTAAAGTATTTCGTGTCATGACAACGTTACTTTTTTATTACAGTCTCGGTGTGAAAGTTATCTTGGGATGAACTTGTGTAATGTTTCAGTATTAATGTTTTTCGTTTCTATGAAAACATATGTAGTTACTTAACAGTGTTTTACAAAATCAAATTAAATACTTATGTTACATAATATGTAAACAATTGAAGAGACAATACATGCATCACATTATGTACATCCACGGTTAGAGCAAGGTCAATTATCGCGAATCTCTTATTTCTATAGTTATGCATTCTACTGTAAGAGGGAAACAAGGGTGTCTGAATAGTTACAACATTCTGATATTCTCTTACTAGATACTAGTGACTGTAAGTTTTAATGTAGATATGTGTGTTTCTTATTATAAATTTAGATTCTGATTATGTGCAATTTGCATTGCAGGAGTATACAGACTAACTGTAGAGCCGCAAATCTACATTGATGTGCAAGATGTTGCTGAATTGAAGAGTTATTCAACAGACTCAACTCTGACATTAGGTGGAAACTTGAGTCTGAATGATTGTATTAACCTCTTTAATACTGTGTCCAAGACAAAATATAATTATGCATATACAGAAATTCTGGCACGCCACATAGACTTGATTGCCAATGTCCCTGTACGAAATGTAAGTCATTTACTTTGTTTGTATCATTTGACATTAGCTAAATAAGGAAATATTAACTTCTTAGATAGTTCAAGTAATTATGTTTACAAATACTATCATGGAAATTATTTAGAAGACGGAAGAAATGGTTTATTCACCATTCAGCCACCTGACGCGGCTCGTTACCCGAGAGTCTTTCATCAACTATTTAGAAGACACTTTTAGTAATAAATAACCAAATAATGTTGAATTTAAAGTGAAACTTTCGGAGCGACTGAAGTTGATGAAAGACTCCCGGGTTACAAGCCGTGTCAGGTGACTGAATGGTGAATAAACCATGTCTTCTGCCAATGTTTCAAAAACAATCTCTGCTCTCATCCTCAGGGCTGCTTGTTAAACAAAGTATCAGACTGGTTACCAAGCAGCCCTGAGAATGAGAGCAGAGATTGTTCTTGAAACATTGGTAGAACACATGGTTTATTCACTGTTCAGCCACCTGACACGGCTTGTAACCCGGGAGTCTTTCATCAATATTGAATTTGTTTTAAATTTTGCTAGCCTAGAATGAATACGTTTATGAATGACAACTGCAGTATTCACACACATGATGCCATTCTATTTAGGAAACATTGTTAAAATTATACAGTGAGTTTATTGACGTATCAAAGTGCAACTGGCTCCTAGAAGGATCTGCATGACTCACCACCAAGTGCTAACAGAACTAAAGTTATTCACCTAACAGTGCAGCTGTATCTATTAAATACTGGTTACTTTTGTGTGGATATGGGTCAGTATACTGTTGAGCAGTATATATTTCTACATGAATCATGTGTAAAATGTGGTTCCAGTAGAAAGTGTTGGAGAAAATTTTGCTGTAAATTTTCCAGGATTACAATTCTAAACACAACAGGCATCCTTGAACTTGTTAATAAAGTCATGTCTACTGTGTTGCTTCTCTACAAGAAACCTGTTAAGAAAAACTGTTAGCTTACTGGAGGGAAGAAACCAGACAAAGTACATGTTAGGTTAGAATATATACCACAGAAATTATTGGGATGTCTTGAACAAGGTACCAGTATCTAGAAATTTTTAAGAGCCAGAGCAACAGAGCAATGAATTTTTAACCTTTTTAAATGGTGTAGGAACATTATTTTTAACAGATATTATAAATATGTTAGCTGATTTTATTGTTTTTATTTAGCGATACTTGACTTGTACTGGTAAAATTTTGTAGCACTTAGTGGCGAGTTATGCTGTTCCTGCCAGGAGCTCGAAAGTTACAGTTGCATTTACATTTTTCGGCGAACTCATTGTACAATAAAAATAATAATATATTTTCAACTTTGTGCAATTCACAGTTAATATTTCTTATGTAGTTTTATCTGAAATCTTGTAAAAGAGAAAAACAATTTTAAAATATAGAAACTGTTTCAGAATACGTGCAGTATACACAAGGTGAACTGATAAAGTGAACAAGTATTACATTCTTAAGATCACCACAAGCATATTTTCAGCATAGAAGTTGGGGTAACATGTGATGATGATGTGAGAAAATTAAAGAAAATAGGTAAATTTTTAATACAAGTGCCAACCACTTAACTGTGACATTCAGTAATTCAGATGTGATTATTTTCCTGCAGACACTTAGAACTTTCAGAACCATCTTGATATTTATTAATTAAATAAGGACTCTAAAAGGAAGAAGGGAGAGATGTGTTATTTACATAGTGACTGTATGGTTTATATCTGTAAATTTATCACAGGTTGGGACAATTGCTGGAAACCTCTCTATTAAGCATGAACATCCAGAATTCCCATCTGATTTGTTTCTGATTTTAGTAACAGTTGGGGCCACCTTAACTATCGGTGAGTTACTTCATATCACTTTATCCTGTGTATTGTCAATTAAATTAATGAACTCCATCAGAGGAGACGTGACTATTTTGTCAGTTGCATTATTTTGACTGTTTTTCTAGTTTAAATATTAATTAAGTTCCCCCAGTTCCTTGGCTTATCCCAAATGGAAATAAACTTCAAAGACCACAAAATAATAGATATTGTTTTATCTAATAATTTACCTGCAATAAATATCTTTGCCGAGAACCAGTTTCCATTTTATATTTTCAGAAAATAAATATGTAACACATTTATTAATAGCATACATATGCAGTAGATCTGTGTCCGGTTTGTTGGCTAATATGTATCGTTATTCATTTGGGTTGTTTGTTTAGTTCACAATGCTGGACATGTCTCCATGAAATTTGTCTATTAAACAATATTGGCGGAAGAAAGAAGAACTGGTAGTTAAGGTTGCTTTTTAATTTTGTCACACAGAAGGAACTATTACTAATTTTTTAGACTGTAGTTGTAGTAATAATGGCAGTAGCAGTGGTGGTGGTGGTGCGAGTATTAGGAGGAGGAGTGGAAGTGTTATGAGAAGTAGTAGAAATAGGAAGAGAATTTGCAGAATTGTTTTTTGGAGTAGGAGGAAAAGTTTCAATATTTTTTAATGTGGCACTACAAGAAAAACCTCGTTACTCAGATCGCTGTTACGTATAGCATAGCCTGTGTAATCCATGCCTTCCATGGTATCCTATTCATCCTACCAACCTTTTCTTCTAGTGCCACTGTTAGGCACTTCTTAACATTCGTCCATTCCTCTTCAACGCTTTCGCCTTCACTTTCACTTGATTTTCCTTCCAATTCTGCTCTTACTTCGTCTCGCGCGCTCTCCAGGTCCCATCTCTTCTTCCTCACCCCCTACTCCTGATTTTCTTCACTCTGGTGCTGACGTTTGCAACTAACAGAGTCGATGTCCGCTGATGGCACTGTTTTCACATCCTTTACGCTATTCCTAAATCGTTGCTTCACTAAGATATAGTCTATCTGGTATCTGCTCCTGTCTCCTGTGATGCTTCTTGAACCAGGTGTTGGTGATTACCAGTCCATTTCTTCGGCAGAAGTCAACCATCATGTCCCCTCTCCTATTCCTTATTCCCAGTCCATGAGGGCCGACAATGTTGTTTTCTG